TGTGTCCGATTTGATTTGAAAAGTGTCCGATTTGGTTTGAAAAGTGTCCGATTTGGTTTGAAAAGTGTCCGATTTGATTTGAAAAGTGTCCGATTTGGTTTGAAAAGTGTCCGATTTGGTTTGAAAAGTGTCCGATTTAAAGTGAAAATGGTATATAACCCACCCCCGCTCGACGGAAAATTCTTGGCTGAAAAACTGGAAATTTTTCGGGAAAAAATGGTAGGAAGTTGGGAAAATCTAGGAAAGTGGTAGGTAGCATGGGGAGGGGGTCGTATTTGAGGATGGAATTAGGGGGGTCGTATTTTTCAGGAAATGATCACAACGCGATGGCGTGCCCTGACTTGCTCTTCTTAATGGCGTGCCCTTCAGATACTATGATACAACACAGCTCGTACGCTGAGGTTGCAGCATCGCAGGCCATGCCCATCGCCACAGCCCTGCGATAGTATCGCCATATACCCCCCCCCCCGGTTATGATATTAGACTAAAGTGGTCGCTTCTTCGACTTTCACATTGCGAGTCGTGACCTTCGTAACACCCGACGGTGGGGGGAGGAAGTTCGGCGTGTCCCTCAGTGGTGCTCTACCAGGTTGTTGTTACCAGAGAAAGGTAGCGAATCGATAAAATGGTACTCCTGTCCGCAAGCAGGGTGCACAGCTTTCGCAGCTCAAGAATACGTAGGGAAAGCGTTGCCTGTTCGCGACGGGCTCCGCCCGCTGGCCACGGCTCCGCCCAACTTCCATTTTTAACTGCTACTTGTTCTCCCTCCATTGGTCAGGGTGAGGTGATAAGGAGCAGAAGTTGGCATCAGCAGGTGAGAGCTCGTCCGACCACGCCCTTTGCCTTACGCAGGTAACGTCGTTCAGCACGGGGTCCTATGTAGGGCAGTTCAGGAACGCTAGGCTTCCCTTCAAAGTAAGCCACTGCAGTACTAGACGTGGTTTTGACCGCTGTTTACCGATCCTTCCTCCCAAACCCTCTGAACAATACGGAGTATGGGTGTTTACTCTACGCTTATGTAGTACAGCTGGTAAAGGCAGCAAGTCCAATTCAGTAGAGAATTTAACTGTGAAGTGATGATTGATGGTGAGCATCGAGTTTCAAAAGTTCTTTTTGTAGTTGGTCGGACTTCCTTGCTTCCATTTTCCATTGTTTTTCGCTTTTGCACTTAGTTATTTTTCCTATCTTCCTTTCACTCATAAATAGAAATGATAGTTTTATCAGTCTTATCAGTGCATGAGGTCAGTGAGCAACCAAAAACGAGTTCAGGACGTTCTCTTATCACCGGTGTGTACGTTTACAGTAACAACGCTGTGAACTGATCACGTTGTGTTTCGCGTACGTTTCTCGTGTGAGTGTTATCATTCAGGTAATGAGTGGTTCCAAAAAGGAGTGCAGAGGTATAAGTTAAAGTTCCGGAGAGGAGCCATTCGGCCTGGAAGGGGGGGGGGAAAGACACTTTGCGCTTCCACTAGTTCTTGTTGAATCACACGATTCACCCAATGTGACCTCCTCCCCCCCCTCGCCTCCCCACCCCGCCTCCCCTTACATCTGACTGCTTCTCTTGAAGTCCAGTTCAGGATGAGGATGATAGAAGCTGTACTACTCCAGAGATCATTGTACTGTAGCGGAAAGGCCACTCCAGGGAAGTGTGACATTAACAATGTTCTAGGCCAACCACTTCTCCTCCTCCTCCTCCTCCTCATTTTGTAGTCACCATAAGATCGTTCTCATATTTGCATTATTGTAGGAAAGGAGATCAGAAGAAAAAGAACATCAGTTCACGTTTGAGCGGTAGGTGCAATTGTAGGCAAAATTGACAGTAACCGATAAAATAATATGTACCATCTGACATCGTAAACACTGTGTTGGCTAAACTTCAAAGACCTTGGCGATGGAGCTGCTCCAGCCAGGGCACGCCATCGCGCTGTGATCATTTCCTTAAAAATACGACCCCCCCCCTTCCCTGCTACCACTTTCCTAGACTTCCTCAACTTCCTACCACTTTTCCATTTTTTCCCAAAACTTTCAGTTTTTCAGCCAAAAATTTTTCGTCGAGCGAGGGGGGCCGTCAGGATTTAACTATCATTTTCAACTATCGGGAATAGTAGTTCCATAGACCTTTAAAGTCCCTCTCTCAACAACGGCCAAATACGACCCCCTCCCCCGTTGTGATCATCACAACGATGACTTGCCCTGACTCCAACACGACTGTTCCAAGCTGTTAGTAAGAGGCAGCACTGCGCAGTAATAGAGCACGTCGTATGTACGTCGAAGAAGAGCGAAGGTTATCGTATTTGGTCGCTAGAGGGAGGAGAGGACGTATTTGCACTCGAGCAAA